AAACCAGGACAAAACCAGGAGCAGACCAAGACTAAACCAACACTACAGGACCAATCCAAGTCTACAACAGGAATAAACCAGGAATAAACCAAGACTAGACCAGGATGAGACCAGGGCTAAACCAGGAGTAAACCAGAACAAGACCAGGACTAAACCAGGAGTAAACTAGGACAAAGCCAGGGCTAAACCAGGACCAGACCAGGACAAAATCAGAACTGTAGGACCAATCCAAGTCTACAGCAGAACTAAACCAGGACCAGAAGATATTCCAAACACTGTGTCCTGAGTAAAACTATCCAAAACATCAGTTCTAATTTAGTTTTAAAATAGAGCCTGTGTAGTGTGATTTTTCACCTGTTTGTAACTCAAATCTCATTAACAAAATCGTAAACATCCCAAACTCCTCTTCTGGCCCCCTCTGCTCCTGGTTGATATTTTAACTGAGTCTCTCTTGTGTTGTGTTGACAGGACTCCATTCAGCTCGAGGTTTGAGCCACAAGCCACAAACGCGCTCTGGGTTTGTCAAAGAGTGAAGAGAAAAACCTCCTTTAAACATTTGTGACCATCTCTGTGTTTTCATTTCAATTATCGGATTAGAGGCTTTGAAAACGGCGAAAAACATGCCATGGGATGCAGTTTGGGAACTCTGTGGAATGAACACAAACAAGCAAATGAGGGCACACGATCCAAAAGGTGTAAGTGATATGCCAGTAAGCTGACAGGAGGGGAAAAAAAGTCAATTTGAGAGGACTTTTCTTAAATATATTTGTTCTAAAAACTCACTTTTTACAAACATTGCAAATCATTTGAACAACAGTAAGCAGAGGTTGGGACTTGCAAGTCGTCATTTGGACTTGAGTCAGACTTGAGTCACTATTTCTAGGGCTTATTTTGAGGCCTGTGACTTGAGAAGACTTGATGCTTCTCCTAAAATAATGTATGTTTTACTCTTTACAGTTGATACATGCGGTGCTTAATTTTACAGGAACAAACTGGAACATGTCCCTCCCACTTCTCTATTTGTTACTTTCGATGTAACTGAAGTACTGTGATACGGTATTCTCAAATATACTACAGTAATATACAGTACAATATAGTACAAAGGACATGATCCTTCCATTTCAGTGCAGACTACATGACAAAATACTATTAAATCTTAATTCTTTTTGTTCTGACCATACATTTAAAAAGGAAAAATTTGCATTTCTAAATACTCATATATAAATATACCATGACTTTTTAAGTACAGTTTAAATTAAAATTCATATAAATATCACAAATATAAGCTATATTTGGTACTTTTTTGGTTTAAAGACTTTAAATGACTTGAAGCTCAAAGGAGACGAGTTGGATTTGACCTGGATTTATGGACCAGTGATTCGAGACTCGACTTGGACTTGCCTGTATTTGACTTTGGACTTGACTCAGACTTGAGATCAACAACTTGAGACCTGCAAAACAACGAACTTGGTCCCACCTCTGACAGTAAGGTAAGGTCCCATATTACGCTATTTTCTGATGTTATAATGTTGTTTCCTCATCACAAACAGACCTGGAGTTGTGTTTTGTTTCATTCACACATGTTTAACCAAGACTAAATCAGGACTAGACCAAGACTAAACCAACACCAGACCAGGACTAAACCAGGACTAAAGCAGGACTAGACCAGGACCAGAAAACAGAAAATGGGGTGCATTTTGGTAACTCTGTGGAATGAGCAAAAACAAAACAAAAAGCATATGAGGGCACAGGATTCAAAAAGTGTTGGTGATATTCCAGTAAGTTAACAGGAGGGAAAAAAAGTAAATACGAACTGACTTTTCTTAAAAACTCAATTTTCACAAAAATTGCAAATCACATCACCTGAGCAACAGTAAGGCAATTTATAGTCATTTAGATTTATGAAATGAGTAAGTCATTTGCAGGTCATTTAACAGATATTGTTTTGCACACTTAAAACCATAGATTGTACAAATAAATGGACATAAGGAAGTAAGCATTGAAGCATTTCCGGCTGCATTGGCTCCAAAAAATTGTCACCTCTCTGTAACTACTGCAGTGAGCCTCGTCATTTCGGTCTTAAATAAATTTCTATTCCTAATACTTGGCTTCAAATTTGCCTCATAACTGCTAACCTCGTGAGCTTCATTTGACTGGAGCTGAACACTCGCAGTCCCTTAGTCCATTTCTTTATTATCTATGGTTAAAACCAAATGAAGAGATGTGAATATTTTGTAGTCTATTGTTCTGGGAGTGGATAAGAGCTTATTGTGAATGTTAATTTGATATAACACAAGTTTAAACAAAAGGTCACTCACACCTTTTTAATGTGTTATGTCTTTTTGTGTTAGTTGATTTTTTTTTTATTCACATGACAATCAACACTGAAAAAAAAAAACAAAACTGAAAAAACAAAGCAAGAATAAACCAGATCTAAACACGCCTATGCCAGAATCAAGATGGGACTAGAGCAGGACTATAACCAGTCTGAAACATGACCAAACTAGTTCTATCCTGAGTCATAGTAAAGTCTAATGTTTGGCTGATCAAGTCTTTAATGAAAAGACCACACAGGACCCCTTATATCTTACCACTGATGCAGCCTGTGCCATCTGGTGCACACAGTTTGGCTTCAGATACACATTAATAATTCATTAAATCCATAAAAAAAACATCTGTTTCTTCTTCAAAGAAAAATCCAAACACGTATTTATACCAGAGCTGTTTCTGACCTCAACTTCAACAACCGCAGTCCACCAAAGGGAAGGAATAGCCTCTGTGTGTCATGAATCAACACTGCCATCTAGTGTTGGTTTATTGTTTTGCTGTTTTGTTCCATCTGGAGTAAGTAGGCGTGTCTAAAAATAATTTTAAAAAAATCAAAAAATAATTAAAATCAAAATATGTGAATTAAAAAGCATTTATTCAAACTTTAAACTGTAGATATCAACAGCTGAATACGCGTCACGCATTTTATGGACAGTGCAATATTACTTCGACCACTAGATGTCAGCATTCAATAAATACCATAGACTATATAGCCTAAATGCCAACATACCCGGTCAGTTCGGTGTAAAATCTAATTACTTTAGGTAATTTCCTTAGGTAATTGGTCATAAAATTGCTAAAAAGTGAAATGTATTTACAGTGTCTTTGTCAAAGTCTCTAAAACTATAAAAGATTGTCACTCAGGCCCCAGCGAGGATCGAACTCGCGACCCCTGGTTTACAAGACCAGTGCTCTAACCACTGAGCTATGGAGCCGATTATGCTAAGCTAATTGGCTAATACTTTGAAAAAATTGACCATACGACTTATCTAAAGCGTTTTACACAGTTTTGAAGATATTTTACAGCCAAATAACGCACCGAAATGTAACCCAAAAAGTTACACAGAGCATGTTTTTTAAGAGTTCCTTCAAGGTTTTCAATTTTAAAGGTGCACTGTGTAACTTTTTGGTTGGGGGACTGTTACTTGTTTTTTTCTATGGATATGTCATTGCTCTGCCTGGAATGTTCCACAGTATGGCATTAAACAGCGCTACCTTACATTTATTAAATTACAGGTGGTTTTATGATGGTTGTATCAAAAATACCTTGAAAAACAGACATTCTGACTGTGAGCAGGGTCGCCTCTCCACAAATCTGACCTGTAACTTGGCCTGATTTGGTCTGCGTAAAGATAGAATGGTTTAATGCCATACTGCGAAACATTCCAGGCAAAAGAATAACATGTTCATGGAGAGAAGCGTTTGACGGGCCCTCTGCTAGAGTTACACTGTGTAAAGTTTCAATTTCATTTCTCTCTAGCGACTAGGTCAGGAATCAGAATACACTAGAGTCTAAACTTTACAGCACTGTATTAATAATAAAGGAACATACAAACCAATCGTGAAACTGTTAAGCCAATCAAATCTGTGCATTCAAGGCCATCACAACTCTGAATGCAATGCAGACACAAACACAGACAGAGGAAAGAGGTTTTGAGAAATCTGCTGAAAAATGTATTGAGACAGTTAAATCGAGATGTGACAGGTAAAGAAATAAGGAAACTCAAGCTGCTTTTTTTCTGAAATAAAGCATTTTGTTTTAAGATGCACAATTTAGCCATTTTATTTATTTTCTCTAATTCATTTTTAAACTGCAGCCCTGTATCTGTTTGTTTCAGTGTTATCAGCGTTACCATTTTGTTGAAATGTTTTTAATTGTATTTTTGTTAATTTGACAGTCTATTGTTCATACATTCAAACATTGATAAAACTAGGCTGCTACTGTATCACAATCATAGCGCAAGTTAAACTTTATTGTGTCCCGGACCTCTGGTTGAGGAGATTTTCTCTAACTGGACCTCCTCAAACTTTAGTTGAATACTCCTGCTATACAGTGTTAATATTTAATGTGCCCCAGGTTAGGTTAAGAATCCCTGCACTACACGTTTTGCAAGAACCCTGGAAGTGCGAGTCCAGGCACCGGCCAATCAGTGAAGAGACATACATTCTGTGTTGGCAACGATTCCTGTGATTGAGGATTTAAAGCCGGAGCAAAGAGAATGTTTAGTGAATTTTATCAAGGGGAAAGACGTTATTGCCCTTCTTCCTACGGGATTTGGGAAAAGCTTAATATACCAGTTAGCCCCGTTACATTACATACGTCATGACCAAATAGCAGCGATTGGTTAAACAAAAAAAAGTACCTGCCTACCGTCGAGCGAACAAATTCTAATTGTGTGAGGTCAGATGGTTTCCACGAAGCACTTACTTAAAGCACTTACTTCCACTTAAAGCACTTATTTAACTGAAATGGGAGCTGCAATGTTTACTTGTGTTCAGGGTACTTTTTACTGGTCTTAAAACATAGATATGTAAAAAATTTAATTATTAGGCTACAGTAAAATGGAAAAAAGAAAGGTTTTGTAGCATTTTCTTGTGCCTCATTTGGATAATATCGGTTTACCTGGCAACAACAAAACCCCACTCCAAATCACAAAGATGCTCAGACCATGTAGATATTTAAGCTTGCTGTTTTCTTTAATATTTTCCATTCAAACAGCCACACACATGATTTCCTGAGTCTTGACCCCTCCTTCTGGCACTGCGCCTTTATAAACAGGGATTAAATAACACACATAGGCCCACAATACATTCACTGCATAGGCTCATATATAATTAAAGTGCAAGATACATTTATCCAAAGAAGAGAGAGCAGCAATTCTTAATATTACATGAGATAGTTTTGCTTTTGCATGTTTTAAAAGCCCCACAAATAGTTAACTTGTGGTATTTACTTGCTTGGCAGTTAGTCAGGCCTATTTCTAGTCTAAAACAATTTACACATTTTAAGCAGATACTTTTCTCCATCTGGTCTTACTATATACAAAACCTGGACAAAATCTGGACTCGTAAAACAAATTAAATACATTCTTGTGAAAGTTCAGGTTTAGATTTCAGTTCATTCTCCTGAACTTATTTAACGTGAATTGTGAATGAATCATGAGTTTTACATTAAGATTTGAAGACGTATTTTAAGATTTAAGTATAAGGACTTATCATGGATTAGATGGATTTCAGCTTCTTGTTATATGCAACATTTTGAAGACTTTATCCCATTCAAAAGATACATTTTAAAAAGTTGCCAATCACTACGGCAACTGTCTTAAAGGTGCGCTGTGTAACTTTTTGGAGATGTTGTTGATGCTTTGAATTTTTCACAGTATAGTATTAAACTTATCTATTTCCAAGGAGACAAGCACCATGATTGTAAAAGAAACTAAATCAAACAAACAAAATAACATCTATAATTAAATAAGATGCAAGTTTACTGCCATACTGTGGTACATTCCAGGGAAAGTATATCTCTATGGACACAACCAGGTCCTGGACTCTTAACAGAAAAGATGCATAGTGCACGTTTAAGTTTTCATCATTCTGAAACCCATGGATAGTAGCCTATAGTATAAAATGAAAGGTAAGTATTTCAGATGTTATTGCAAACACTAAACTTGTCAGAAAAACTGCAATGAATTATGTTTTCCACGCTATTAGTGATCAAATCTATCATTTAAAGGCCCATATTACAGTGTTTTCTGATTTATGTTATAATGCTGTTTCCTCTTTAAAAAACATACCTAAAGTTGTGTTTTGTGTCATTCTTTTTTGGCTGAAACATTATTTTAAAAATAAAAAAGCTTTTGGACATTGGCCATCTGAGTGTGTGATGCATTTTTTCACTTTTGTCTTGCTGTCACCTGCCCCTGTGGTAAAGCCTATGTGGGTGAAACAAGCACAGCTTTAAAAACACGTACTGCAGAGCATAGGAGCACAATCAGATGTAAAAACATGATCATCCTATCTCTTCCTTAAGATATATTGGCATTGAACATGTGGAACTCCTTTGAATCTGGAAATGCTCCTGTGAGAAAGACTCTAGCTCCTCACAGACTGAATATAGAGTTTGATCTAAGATGTTTTTTTTGTGATATGGTTAAACTATTTCTGTATTTTATAGAATGTTTTTTATGTAAATATCTAAACGTTTTTTTCTTGTCTTAGAATAGACTGAACTCACTGGGTGACCTCACTTTGGGACCTCCCATTCATTGGAGGGGTATACACGCATCAAGAATCTCGGACTTCCGGTCATTGTGCAGTTCATACTGGGAAGGATTTTCCGAAAAAGTGAGCATCAAACCGCCATGTTTGTTTTCCCAGTGCGATCTTTTCTACTCTTTTGAACCATATCGCTATTGTTTCTGATTCTGATATTGTCATATTTTAGTTTTGGGATATGGACATCATAATTGTGTGGTTGTTGGATCCTAACAGCGGAAAACGGCTTGAGAAATTTGTTTGCGAACTCCATAGATGCAAAAGGGAATCAGATGTGTGTGACTGCAAACCTCCTTTCAAACTGTTTCCCTTCCCAACGGAATTGAAAAATAGTGAAAGGCGAAGGCGATGGGCAGGGTTGATCCAACAGGAAGGACCAAAAAGGAAACCTTTGTCTGCCTAAATCATCCCGAGTTTGTAGCGAAGATTTTGTATGTGGGGGAAACAGTTTTCACTTTTTGGGAAAATCCTTCCCAGTATGCACTGCACAATGACCAGAAGTCCGAGATTCTTGATGTGTCTATATGAGCACCTGGGCTGGCAACCATTTTGTGTGCTGTGGTCCAAAGCAAGAAAAATATCTGATCAAGGCTTTTTTTTGCCGAAACGTTATTTTAAAAATATAAAAAGCTTTTGGACATCAGCCATCTGAGTGTGCTATGCATTTTTTCACTTTTGTTTCATGTTTAACACACAAATCCTGCATTTTAGGTTCTTCTCTCAAACGGAAAACACTTTGTTCCACCTTATGATGTCATGTATTGATTGATTATGTACTGCTTTTATTATTTTTGTTCATTGATTTTATTATTATTATTATTTTATTTATTGATTCTATTAGTTTCCTCATGGTTGAAACATAATTCTACAGATTTTTTTATTTTTTAAGTAAAATATTTTACATTGCTTTGTGAAGCACTTTGGAAACTGTTTTGTTTATAAAATGTGCTATACAAATAAAGTTTAATTGGATTGGAAGTGCTCCACTGGGTTTTTAAACTCCATACACCTTCACTAGAATCATTTGGATCATTTCAGCTCAGGAATTGCCAAACTCTACTAAACTAAAGGTAAAATGTAGCTGTTAACTTGAAAACTACTACTTCATGACATCACAAGGTGGACCAGAGCATTTTGAGCTTTGGAGATGTAGACAGACTAATAAAGTGTTACTTAAACACATGTGAATGAAACAAAACACAACTCCAGGTACGTTTATGAGGAAATAAAAGCATTATAGCATGACTTAAAGCTCACAAGAGTCCATTTTGTGTAATATAAGACCTTTAAACTTGTACCACATGATCTGCGTCGTGACTGCATATGACCCCTGCGTCTTCATAGTGGGCGCAGTTATGTTTTTTGACTCCTGCGTGTTTACAGTCCAAAAGCGTCGCCTCCATCCCCTCACACTGCACGTCGTCTAGTAAGATCGGTAAATGTCTCCCCTCTCCAAACTCCGAGTTCTTGGCTGCTCTCAGGGCGTGCCTATACCCAAGCTGTCTACACACCACTGCAGCGTTACTAAGAGTCCACAGATCATCGCAAACTGTTCCCCATTCTCCGTTGATATAAACTTCCACTCTTCCTTGGTCTATTCGGCCATCTTGCTCCCCCGCCAGCCTCACCGCCCCGTCCAGAGGATCGGTCTCGGTTCTGGGTTTGGTCTTCTTGCGTTTGGGCTTTCTCCTGGTGGTCCTGGGGGGTCTTGTCGTGGTGGTGGTTGGCGGTGGAGTTGTTGTGTCCAGTCCGATTTCGCCAAGTTGGTCGAGAAGTTCTTGCAGCCAATCGTAGGACTCTGTTGTGGGTTGAGCTTCGGGGTTGGTGTTGCTTGGTGGATCGATGCCTATTGGAACTGAAAGGAAAAATACAAGCAATTTTCAATGGTAAATTATTCAACTTCCATGAAAAGCATTCCTGTGGTTAGCTACATATCCTTCTCATTTGACATGTCATCTGGTACTAGTTTGATTTAGTCTTTATTTAAAGGGACAATGTACAGAGATATTAAGCTCATAAAAAACACAGATAGCTAGTTTCTATCTGCTGGTACTGCTGATAGTTTCAAAGGTATTTTAAGGTTGGACTGATAGGTGCAAAGAAACATATTGTACATTACATTATTTTTTTCCAAAATCAATCACAAAAAATGTGCACTAACTTTGTAGTGTACACCATCTGCTTGTCTTCATGGATTGTTTTTGCCTGAAATTGCCTACACTGGGACATAAAGAGAGACAGGGTGCTCTACCAAGCCAAATTACAGGTCAGATCTGTGGAGAGGCAACCCCGCTCACAGTAAAGATGTTCTCCAAGGTACTGTTTATACATCAAAACACAAGTAGTTGAATAAATGCTGGAAGTTTTAATATCATACTGTGCAGCATTCTAGGCAAAGCAATAACATCTCCATGGAGACGAGCAGGTGGCAGACCCCAACCAGAAAAGTGACATACTGTACATTTAAGTGAAATAAGCTCAACTGAAATTTATTGATCTACTTAAGTTGCTATAATGACCAGATACTAGGGGTGTAATGGTACACAAAAATCACATTTGGGTATATACCTCGGTTTTGAGGTCATGGTTCGGTTCATTTTCGGTACAGTTGGGAACAAAATGTAAAACCATTTGCTTGTTGTTTATTTGTGTGTTTATTAAACCAACAATGGTAATACTAATAAGTTAAGTAAGTAAGTAAGTCTTTATTTATATAGTGCTTTTCACAGACATTTTCTGTCCCCAAAGACGCTTTACAGAGCATTATTCAGCATTCATTCATTCACTCTATACCTGGTGATGACAGAAGCGTGGCTGTCAGTTAAGTTAAATAAAATATACCGTATTTTCTGGGATATTAGGCGTTCTGGATTATAAGGTCTATTTTCAAACTTTTTTCACAAATAAACCACACCGAACTTTAAACGAAACACAACAGTGTGATGGGTCAGTGGTTTTGTTTGTTTGGTGCGTTCACGGTGACTCTGGGCTTTGTTCAGTTGTGGCGTGTAGGGAGGGTGCTGTCTGGGACCAACGGATTGTCGGCGTGTTCGCAGTGACTCAGTTGTTCAGTCGTGTCTACAAGTGGCACATTGCACTCGCTTTTTCGGTTCGTTCTTCTGTTCCGTTCCTCGTCGGCGTGGAGTGATGAGTGTGTCTGTGGGTGTTCTTCGCTGTGCGGTCGCTGTCTGCTCCGTGCGTGTTTGCACGGAGCAGACAGCGGCTTTGTGGTGGTGTGGCTTTGTAGTTTACTGAAGTCATGCTGGGACACCCGAGTGGATTCGTGTATAGGGCGCTCTGGATTGTGGGGCGCGCAATCGTTTTTTGATAGGGTTAGAGGCTAATACTGTATTCTCAAAGCAACAAATGTTTGAAATATTAAAAAAAATAACTTCCTTGTAAACAGTAAACAGTAAACAAAAGCACTAACAGCTCCAAGATGAAGTTTTACTCAGTCTTCATATTTTTTGGCCAGAAAAACCAACTTGTCCACATTGTCTGCAGTAAGCGTAGATACAGCGAAAGGCGAAAGTGAAGACCGCCGTGCGACGACGTAGCATTGTCAAGGTGGCCACCCTAACTATAAAGCACCACGGGAAACACTGTCACCCCAATCATGAACGGGTTCCCTCATGAATATTAAAGAGTCGAGCCGTCCGTGTAGCTGCACATGTAGTGGCAGAATGTAAACACAAAAATTGCGCAAAATAACTCGTACACAGCCCTGCACCGAACCAAATGTCCTATACCAAAATGGTTACATGTACCATTACACTCCAACCAAAGTTTCAGATTTTAGCAGAACACCCAATCCTGACTGTAGGTCCATATAATACACAAGAGGAAATGACATCTTAATGAAGCAATACCAGACCAACTTTGTCAGTATATAATAATAACAATAAACAAAGCTGTGTGGTTAGCCAGGCTATAAAACAAAGCATGTCCACTCACCTTCCTGTGGGACAAACTTGATGACTTTGCTTTTCAGTTTCACCGGGAGAGGCTCATAGTGGCACTGTCTCGGGGGCGCGCGTCTGAAAATGAAACGAATACCAAAAACCATTAGCACAGAAGCCACATTTTTCATCTGCAGGTTTAAACAAGCTTTCAATGCATGCCTTTTTACTCAACCTAAATCAAAACACAGCATTCAACCAGTTTAAATGAGTCTGACGGACGGAAAACAAATTAGGTGACACAATCAGAGAACGCGGGACGGGGCCAAGAGCTGTCTGCAAAAATGTCAAAGAGGAGATTTACAAAGGCAAGGTTTTAACGTGACTGCCAACAGCACTTCACTTCATTTCTTAAGCAAAACACAGAAAAAAAAATCCAGTATTAAGCAAAAAACGAAGAGAAAAGTGATCTAGGGTAAAGGCAAACTTGCTGCTAGCGTTACATCTCTTGGGATTTGGGAGAATGACAAGTCTGTAGTTCGAATTGAAAGCAGATGTGTCCCAGAGTCTTCAAAGCTTTAGAGTTTCACAATATTCAAACAGCATTACCATATAATAACAATGAAACGTTTGGAAAAAAAAATAAAGTGGATTTGGATTTAGATTCCTTGAGGGTGATGCTAACTGTAGGCACTACTCTGTCTGAGGCTTTATTAGACTTAATCTGAGCTTTATTTTAACACAATCTGACCATAAAACTGGAACTACAACAAGTGAGCTGACACAAACTATCTAGTATAAGACAGCAGTTTTTCAGTTAGTCACTCTGATTTGGTTTTGATCAAAAATCAAACACCTAAACAGGGCCATGACACTTGATCACAGGCCCCTGAAAATGTGCTGCTGAAATACATTTTGTGTTCTCAGACAATCTTAAAACTTTTCTGACAGTGTATGCTAATGTGTGCATTGTGTCACTAGGGGAACACCGAAACTAGGTGACCAGACGTCCCTATTTACATGGTACAGACCCGGTTTTGAGCCCTGTGTCCCTTATCCCAGCAGATTTATCCATAACCAATGATTTGTCCTAGTTTTATACAAGAAATGTCCCAAGTGTCCCTATTTTGACCAATATGATACCTAATAACAGTAAAGAGAGGCATAAATTGTCATTTGTTTAGGTAAAATACAAAAAATCTGCTCAAAAATGACCAAAACACAAAGAAAATGTGACAATACTTACCCACATGTTTGTCATGAATGGTCTCTGCATAACAATTTTCCTTCATTATGCACTGATTTCACAATTACCAACCACCAAAAAATGTGAACGGCCCAGTTTTTTATTTAGAAATTCTGGTCACCCTTTCCTAAAAATTCCTCCATTAGAGAGACATGTAGAGCACCCCCAGCGTGACATTACTGCAAAGTATCAATACTTAAAGCAGCACTAAGTAAGTTTCTAAGTGGAGGTGAAAACCCTTTTGTCCATGGAGATGTTGTTTTGCAGGGAATGTGTCACAAAATGGTGAAAACAATCAGCATGGAAACAAGCAGAAGACTCCACCAAACCAATTATTTCTCAGCTAAATAAAACTTCCTTGTGCTGTAAGCTTTCAGAAAAGGACAGAAGTTATATTTTTTGGCTTCTTTTGCTTACCAGAATCAGATTATATCATAGTCCTTTCACAATAGTCTGGAGCTTAAACCATAACTAATACAAGACATGTTTTTACCACGTGTCTGTTAGACTGCCAAGATATCTGTCTGAATACTGTTATAGGGATAATAAATAAAAATAATAAATTAAATTAAGATATATATTTTTCTAAATAATATAGGCCTGTGTCTAGTTTTAAACCTCAGGAGCTGCTTACCTCGAAGGATCCACAACTTTATAAACGACTCCAGTGGGCGAGGTGGCGCTCGGTATCCCAGTGGACATGAAATACAGTTCGCCTGGTGGAAAGACATTACAGAAGGAAAAAAGATTATGTAAGAACTAAAAACAGAACTGTTACAAAAAGGCTAGACATGACACAGCGCAGGTTCACTATGAGTTTCCCAGAGGCTTAATCGTGCTTTTCTAAAAATACAGTTTGAATGGACACAATTTTCAGACACCAAAAGTTACATTTGTTTTAAGGTCCTAATGCAAAATCGATTCTTGTGAGCTTTAAGCTGTGTTGTAATTTTGTTAGCTCCTCAAATACATACACGGAATTGTGTTTTATTTCATTCACATGTGTTTGAGTTTGAGTAATCCTTTGTTATTATTAGTGTGTCTACATTTCCAAAGCTCAAATGCTCTTTTCCACCTTGTGATGTCATGAAGCAGTAGATTTCAAGTTAACTCCTTTTACCTTTTCTTCAGTAGAGATTGGCAATTTAGGGCTGAAATTATCCAAATGATTCTAGTGAAGGCATATAGAGTTTAAAAAGAGGAGAACTCACTGTAATTATGCAAACAAAACACAACTCCAGATATGTTTTTGATGAGGAAACATTAAAACAGATCAGAAAAGAGTGTAATATGAGCCCTTTAACTTTTCAGAAAACACTAACTACGATGTGAAAAGCTAAAAAACACAAGTCCCTTTCCCACACATTTCAGCTACTTTTGCTTTACTAATTGCAACCATTCAAATTGTAATTTTGTTCTCAGTATGACTAATCCTGCAGCTGTACTATCAAAAGTGCAGTACCGGCTTCGTCCTCTGCGAAGGAGATGATGTACTGGTGGTAGTTGTTGATGAGTCCGGGGAAAGCGCAGGTGAGACCCATCCCCATGCAGACCTCATTATAACGCCACTGTCCACTGAATCTGTCCTCACGAAGACTCATCAAACGCCTGGGAAAAGAGAATCATTTCAGAATTTCGACTATATCAATTGAGCCATACATGGTCATGATCATTTTAAAGTTTGTGAACATGATTTGCTTCCCTAGATGATAGAAAAACAATCTTTACTACACAATACCAGCGAGTAAAGAAAGTGTGCAACTCTTTTAAGTACAACTATTTCATTCAACTAAAAGAAACGAAACGCTTTGAACCATATAAAGATATACACTGAAAAAAACAAAATCTAGTCAAGTTAAGATGATCAATTTAAGAAAGTTTGATCATGATTTGAGTCAATTTCACTTGACAAGTAAAATTATCTGCCAGTAGAATAAGACTTTTTGTAGTTAAAATATGAAAATACATCTTGCTACACTTAAAATAAGAAAAATAACAACTTTTTGCACTTAAAATAAGAAACAAAGTCAAATTTTGATTTAATTAAGAAAAACACTTATTCCATTGGTAGATCATTTTACTTGTCAAGCTGTATTGACACAAATAAAGTAAAATGCTCTTAATTTAAATCCTTTTAAGTTACCTAGATATTGCTTTTTTTCAATGTAAATTAAGTACTTTTTTTTCCTCATCATAAAAATCATTTTGCCTGAATGCATTTATTCAATAACAGGCCTTTTGTTATCGCTAAAACATCATCTGCTTGTCTGCACAGAGATCGGTATGCTTAACGTCACATTGCAAAACATTTCAGGCAAAGTAATCTCCATGAAGAAAAGTTAATACTGCAATGAAAAGTAGAAACTAGAATACCTAAAAAAAAAAGCAACATAAAAGCAACAGACTCCACCCCGCAGTAAGCTATCACTCCCATTTCTATAACAAAGTTGTCTTGATACTGATCATATTTGCCAAAGGCTGGACTGAGGAGAGTAATTAGGCTTATGTTAAAGTCATACCCACTCATGAAGTCTCCAAATATGTACATGCCATTGAGGTTTGGGTATTCACAGCCTCTGTACACGTATCCACCGGTCACAGACTTCCCCTGTTTGTGTGGGTAAGCATAGATGGGCAGGACGTCATCTGCAAACACATGAACAATGACTAATAAATATAATATAATATTTTTTTTTCTTAAATGTTCACAAAATAGGATAGATAGTATTGAAATCTGTTTTGAAATCAAGCAAAACTATTATAACCACCTGTCTTGGTACAGGTCCATGTAACGTAGGATCTTCTTGCTGTGAGGCCAAGAAGAATCAGTATCATCTGTCTTACTGACTAAAACTGTTAGGTGTCATAATATTACCTTCAGTGTTGGGAAGGTGATTTTTTAAATGTATTCCCCTACAGATTACAGATTACATCCACCAAAATGTAGTTTGTAACGTAATCCATTAAATTACTTAAAGTGAGTAATGTAAACTTTGGATTACTTGGTTTGCTGTAGAGAAGCAAAGACTAGGACATCGTAACATAAGAAGTTTTGTCTGCTAAAAGACAATAAAAAACCCAGACTTTACTTAACCAAATTAAAATAGCATTGATAGAAGAGGAGGAGACACGGTCCACACGGCATGATTTAGTCCTGTTAAATCCTGTTTGAGACATAGTTTAGACCTAGTTTAGTCCTGGTTTAGTCCTGGTTTAGACCTGGTTTTAGACATAGTTTAGACCTGGTTTTAGACCTAGTTTAGACCTGGTTTTAGACCTAGTTTAGACCTGGTTTTAGGCCTGGTTTAGACCTGGTTTGGTCCTGGGTTTAGTTCTGGTTTGGTCCTGGGTTTAGACCTGGTTTAAACCTAGTTTTAACCTGGTTTAAACCTGGCTTAGGCCTTGTTTAGACCTGGTGTAGTCCTGGTTTAGTCCTGGTTTAGACCTGGTTTAGTCCTGGTTTAGACCTGGTTTTAGACATAGTTTAGACCTGGTTTTAGTCCTGGTTTAGTCCTAGTTTAGACCTGGTTTTAGACCTGGTTTTAGACCTGTTTTAGACCTGGTTTTAGACCTAGTTTAGACCTGGTTTTAGGCCTGGTTTAGATCTGGTTTGGTCCTGGGTTTAGTCCTGGTTTGGTCCTGGGTTTAGACCTGGTTTAGACCTGGTTTGGTCCTGGGTTTAGACCTGGATTTAGTGTCCGGCAATGAGTGGAATTACTGAAAAAAAAAATAATAAAGGATATAGCCCAAAATGTGAAAATAGGAAAATACCGCTGTGTAATCCATTTATTTCAACAAAGTAACTGTAATCTAATTACCACTCACTTAAACAGTAACTGTAACCCAATACAGTTACTCATAATTTGTACTATGATTAGGTAATTCCAGTACATGTAATCTGTTACTCCCCAACACTGATTACCTTAAAGGTGCACTGTGTAACTTTTTCAGAGAGAGGGCTTGCCATCTGCTTGTTGCTATGGAGATGTTATTACTTAAACGTATCTATCTACAAACAGGTAATTAAATACTACACAATAGATTTAGGACCAAGTTTAAAGCCATACTTTGGAACATTCCAGGAAAGCACTAAAGACTCGCCACTGGAAAAGTTACCTAGTGCATTCAGAGAGACAGGGCTGATGCGCCGAGGGAGATGCTGTTTGATTGTGTTTTGCGCTTCATGCACACACCCCCCTCACGGAAAACACACGAAGAAATGCAGATGATGCAGCTTTTGAGTTAATGGAAATGGATGTGGCTGTCGAAGAAGGAAATCGAGCTGCTGCACGTGAGCTCAGCATCAATGAGACAATGATGAGATTTTGGCGACGAACTGACTCAATGTAAAAAGACGACAAAAGCTTTCAGAGGCGATAAAAGCAGATGGCCAGAACTTGATAACGTTCTTGAAGATGTGAACACCTGTGGCTTATATTCAGGTGCGGCCTACATATGTACAATTTAAAATTTAGTTAAAATGTAGTTGATGCGGCTTATATTCAGGTGCGCTCAATAGTTCTGAATTTACGGTACAATATATAAGTAAGAGTATAATTCCATGTCTAACCTAGTGAAGAGTTGCGGCAGAGCTTTTTGTCGTAGCAGGAGAATCCCTCTTTGGCTCTCCACCCGTAGTTCCTCCCCTTCTCGACGATGTCCACTTCCTCGTATTTGTTTTGTCCCACGTCGCCGCAGAAGATTCGACCTTTGCCCTCTCTGCTCTGCGGGTCCCCCCTGTCCACGGAGCACCTCCACATGTTCCGGACCCCAAAGGCGTAAACCTCCGGCCTGGCCCCCCGCTCATCTATAAAGGGGTTATCAGGAGGGATTCTGTACAAGGGGCCTTTGTCGTTGTTGTCCACGTCGATACGGAGAACTTTGCCTAAAAGAGCAGACCTGAGGGGAAAAGCAAAAGGTATTCAATCATACAGTATTCACTCACAGGAAACACCTAATCCTCCTAGGTCCAAAATGTAATGCTTTGGTAGAGACATATACTAGTAAACGGTAAATAGTCACATTTTTATATAGCGCATTTCCACCTTCAATGCACTCAAAGCTCTTTACATCCACTCACCCATTCCCACACACATTCATACACCAGTGTACGCAGACACTAGGGGTGAGGTGCCCAAGGACACAATGACAGCATTCATCTGTGGGAGCTGGAATCTGGAATCGCACGGCAAACTTGTGGGACAGTCGATCTGACCGTTCAACCAATAATGCTTACACTGAGACCGGGATTTGAACCGCCAACCTTCAAATCAGAGGGCAAACAAACAAATTTACTGTCAAATAGTAAAAAAAAAAAATGTGAGTAAGTATGTGACTTGATCATGATCCTTTGCTCTGTTTCAAAGAAGACAAAAACACAAACTCTTGTTAAATGACGGCAATAAAAACCAGGTCACTCACTATGACTATAATATTATTTTATCTGGCGTTTATCACATTAACTTTACTTTATTGTCCTGAAAGTTTGATTTCATGAAGCTGGTCACATACTAGAGGAATTTGACAGTTGAATGAAAGAAAATTGGGATTTTCACTGTAGTTTTGGTCAAGTCTATCTATCTAATTCTCCTGACAATAATGGTAACAGTAAAATTTGCTATTGTGACTTCTTACTTGTTTTGTGCATTTCCGAATTTTCCAAAAGGGTCTCCTGCCATGCCCCCGTCCCCTGTGAAGATGTACAAATACCCATCATCTGCAAACAGGAGCTGACCGCCGTTGTGATTGGAAGCAGGCTCGTCTATTTCCAGAATTACTCTAAAAATACACAAAAACAAATGAGCAAGAGTGGGTGAACTTTGGTGCTTTGACCCCGGTTAGTAGAATTGTCAATAAAATTAAGAGAGAGTGACTGTTTTGTTGAAGGTGCACTGTGTAACCTTTCTTAGTGGATCCATGCAGATGTTAGTGCTTTCCCTGGTATGTCCCACAGTATGGCATTCAACTTATCTATTTCATATAATATATAATTATTTATGTTGCCCGCCTCTCCACAGATCTGACCTTCACTATGCCTGTCTTTTGGGAGAGAGAGATCAGGATAATGGCAACACTCCAGGCAAGGCAATAACATCTTTATGAAGACGAGCAGGTGTCGGACTCCACCAGAAAAGTTACACAGTGCACCTGTAAATCGAACAATGATAAATGAAGTACTCAATTTTGTTATACTTAAGTTAAAAAAACAGATACAGGGACAAAAGATTATTCAAGTAAAAGTATCACATAAACAGATCTAGTTAAGTAAAAGTACCTGTTTAAAAATGTACTTAAGAGTAAGAGTAAAAAGTATTTTGAAGAGATTTTTAGAACAACTAAAGGATGAAATGTGGTGATTTTGAAAAATAAATTACTGATTTTAAATGATTCAATTGATTAATTAATTGTTCTTAATTGTTATAGCAATTTTTAAGTATTTGGTTTGCTCAAAGTTGGGATGTTAACTCAAATTAAATGTGCTAAAAAAAAATAATAATAATAAAGTCTCCACCTTTTAAGCACGTCTCAAACCATGAAGAAAAGAAAAGTACTTTTTACTTTTCAGTCTCAGATCTAAAATGTAGTGTAGTAGAAAGTACAGATACACATTCTCAAATGCAGTGAAGTAAAAGTAAAAAGTATCAAGCATAAAATGTTCTTAAGTAAAGTACAGATACGTAAAATTTGTACTTAAATATTGTGCGTTTACTTTTGTACTTTGTTATCATCCGCCACTGAAATCGAGTTGTGAGGAGTGTGTGGGGAAAAGTGTTATTTGACCATAGAACTTGAAAAGCACTAAAAATAACAACAATATCAAACAAAACAGCATGTTGTTGCAGCCATCACACCACAGTTACATTTGTAGTATTTTATTGATATGAACCTCTGCCCTCCAGCAGTGAATGTACCACTCACCAGTCAAAAACTGGAACAGATAACTAGAATAATCAGATAACCTAATAATTAACAGCTCTCTTTTGCTTATCGAGCAGCTCAAAAAATGGAATACAGTGCCTGCTAATATACTAGAACTTCCAACGCTGGCAGCATTTTCTAAAGCTTTAAAACAGTGGTTGTTTAATGGTCAAATATGTCACCATGTTTAACCAAATAAATGTTTTTTTTTTATATATTGAGGGGTTGTTGGTTTAACTCTTAAACTCTTGACTTTAAACTTTAAATGAACTGTTTGAAATTAATTTGTATGATTTGTGTGATTGTTCTTGTATTTTTCCTTGTCCTGTAGATGATTTGACCTTTGATGATCAACCTGCCGAGGGACTGATGATGGAATTTAGCCATGCTGGCTATAATCTTTACATATTTACATTTTTAATGTTTATTAATATGGGCTGTCCCTTTACAAATAAATAAATAAGAATAAGAAAATAAGAATTAGATCTGTTTTTTAGAGTGTGTCGTTTATATCCACAAGAGAAATTGGATCATCATAAAACAACTTTAACAGTATCTCTTTCATTTTTGTCATCCACAGTATTAAAGGTGCATTGTGTGAGTTTCTCCATGGAGTTGTTAATGCTTCGTCTGGAATGTTTCACAGTATGGTAGTAAACCGTTCTATCTTCAAACAAGACCAAGTTACAGGTCAGATCTGTGGAGAGATGACCCCGCTCACAGTGAAAATGCCTGTTTTTCTAGGTATGTTTGAGCTATAAAACCAACTGTAATTTAATAAATATAAAATAGAGCTGTTTAATGTCACACTGTGGAACATTCCAGGCAAAGCAATGACATCTCCATAGAAACAAGCAGATGACGGACTCCCAACCGAAACGTTACATAGTGTGCCTTTAAAAAGATCTGATTACACAGACCAAAGATAACTGTTATAGAGTAGAATAGATGATATTTCAATAATCTGTTAACTCCAGAAATCAGATTATGATCAGATTTCCAGTGCGTATGTATTTCCAGTGTCTATATACTCACCTCTCAGAACGATGGTCCACCGTGTTCATATCATGCGCCGAAATTCGAAACTCACTTATCCTAATCCGCTCATCAAATCCAACTTCTATGGAATAATACACGTACAACTTCCCATTGTGTTTGTGCTTGGGGTGAAAGGTCAACCCAAGGAACCCTCTCTCGTCTCCTTCCCACGACGATGTTAGCACTGACTTGCTGATGTTCAAAAACGGCTTCTCCAGTCTGGATCTATCTGGAAGGTAGACCCACACCACGCCAACTTGCTCCGCCACAAAGAATCGATGAGTTCCGTCGTTCGCGTGAACCATGGCGAGCGGATTCCTCAAACCGTTGGCTACTTCCTCCAGGCAGAGTTGCAAACAGCCATCAGAGTCATACTGGACGCGGCCTAGGTTCTGGGTCAGCTGGGAGTTACTGAGGAGGTGTGGGTAGCAGTAATCTGTATCGTCTAATTCGAGGTATTGGCAAAGGCGCTTTGGGTTCCCTTGAAGATGGGTTACATGTGGGTCATCCGAGAGGTAAGGGATGGTGGAGTTGCATTTACCCCAAAACTGGGTGCAGTAGTCGGGGCAAAGGCCGGGGATGGAGCGGACCGGGGTGTTGGGGTCCTCTGCGTCATAGAGGTGGGCAGCGTATGGAGAGCATTCCTGGAAAAATAATGAAAGAATCAAATTAAAATGAGAGGTAAAATCATAACAGTAACATAGCACTATATTTACACTGACAAACAGGCCTCGGTTTACAAAAAACGAGCAAGACTTTTACCTTAACTTCAAGGTTAGATGCCATAGTTATACTGTAATATATCTGTGTACTGTGTAACTTTTCTGGTGGGCAGTCGGAGATGTTTTTGTGTTTTAGGTTCTTTTTTCAGACCCAGAGTTTTGTTTCATACCTGACAGTTTCGACTGCTCACTAGCGGTCTTCCTCAGAGTGGTCACGTGATGTCTCTGAGGAAGACCGCTAGTGAGCAGTCGAAATTGTCAGGTATGAAACAAAACTCTAGGTCTGAAAAAAGAACCTAATAACATAAAAAATATCGGAAGACCAAATGAATCTCATTGGATTGAGATGGTTTTGCTTTGACTCTAATGTTCTGCAGTAGGGCATTAAGTGCATTCAACTTTTTCAGATGCTCAACAGTGCCTGAAAAACATGCACTACTTTCTAAGCAGCAGTACTGACTAAGCAACCTCGCCTCTCCGCAGATCTGACCTAACTGGTAACTTGGTCAGGTGGAGTCAACCGTTTTATCTCCATGGAGACAAACAAGTTTAATGTCATACTATAAAACATTAAAAGCAGAGCCGGGACATCTCGCCATGATATTGATTTAGATTAAGTTAATAAACACTGATAGTCTGCATGGATTTTAAAGTTTAAACCTGACCAAAGAACAAAGTTAAATTTCAAACCCAAACTCACGACAGAAAAATACTGAATGGATTACATAAAACACTTTCTACACACTGTTAGAAAGTTCAAACTTTTAGAGCACACCGCGCTCATGTTTTGGACTCCACAGCTCCACGACCTTTGTCCAGACATGCACACACACATATAGACACACACACACGCACAGACACACACAGAAACGCGCGCGCGCAAATACACACTCGTTACCTGGCACAACAGCTCCTGCACAAATCCTGCACAAGCGGCGTAATCATCGTATTCAAAATTGTTCATGATCCTGTAATATTTGGCCATTAGGTCCTGGTCTTTCTGATAATCACAGCAGCCAAAGTCCTTGTACATTACGCAAAACTCCAGCTCCTTCAGCGGGCGAAACGGCGGCTTGAAATCCAAACACTGTGGATGTGATAGCGCAGGTGAGATCCAGACAGACAGAAAACACACGATGCCAGCGGGCCAAAGCAGCCACAAGTGTCCCGGGATTTTACCACAACTTTCCCCCATCATGGCGCGTGTCAGCGACCGTCCGCGACCATGAGCAGACAGCGGAGCTCTGGCCTCTCCCCGTGCACTTTGCTCAGACTCCGGTGATCCCTGTGACTCTGACGTGGTGAACCGGAGTGCCCTCGGTCACCCCGGGCGTCCGCGGGAGCAGGAGGCGTACAGTCAGTGTGTGGTACAACCGGAGGACATCTGCCTCTCTGGCCCTCGCTCAAAATGGGAGGGAGAGAAATGAAGATGTTGTAACCGCAAGATGATACAAAGAGGTCAGGCCTATACTCCGAGACAGGGTCAATTCTCGCCTTTTAAGTCATTTAACCTTTTTAACTGCCCACAAACTTTTGTGAAATAACAACATAACAGACGAAATTTGGTTACTAAATGACACTGAATGATTTAGGCTACAAAATAACAAAGCAAAGTATTTTTGAATCAACATGACGTGTCCATTATGCACATAAAATCTTTGGGATGTTTATGGAGTTATTAATTTAACACAAATTATATGAAACATTTGGTAACACCGAGCTCTTCCTTTTGCCACTAGGTGGCAGCATGTGCATTATCCAAGAACGCATGGGCGCAACAAGAAGAGCTGTCAACTACAATACCTGATCAAAACAGCAAAATATGGGCCACGTTCTATTCATGTTCTAGGTCTACATGTTTTAATTACGTTCACATTTTTAATTCCGGGGAAGAAAATCAGAGCTATCATTTCTCACTGACAAAATCCAACAGGTCTTCTGCCCATGTCTTCCAGTAGAGGGCACTGTGCTGTTATTTACCCACTCGGTGAAGGGGAACACCCCCTCCCTGCTTGTCCCTCCCAGGCCTCTGTTGGAGACCGGCTTTACTGCGTGCCGCCGCGTCTCCAGGGCGATCCGCAGTCGCTGTGGAGAGAGGAGACTGTCCGCACTGTGGACTCGGGTCAGTGCTTTTCGGCCTCGTGCGGACTTAACTGTCTCTCTGCTGAAATGGGTCTGCTTTTGATTATAACGTAACCTGATCAGCATCCGAGCCCGGGAAAACAATCCACTATAGATCTTTGACTAAGGAGCAACATGGACGGGGCGGACGTGAGCCAGCTGTCCGACGAGGAGCTGCTGATGCTGGGGAAGGAGGAGCTGGTGCGCCGGCTGCGGAGGCTGGAGAGCCGCCACATGGAGCTGATGCTGGAGCACGGGCACATGATGAAGGACGTGAACCGCAGCCTGCAGGTCCATCTGCACGAGGTCCGCAGCCTCAAGGAGGTCAACCAGAAGCTCCAGGACGATAACCAGGAGCTGCGCGAGCTCTGCTGCTTTCTGGACGATGACCGGCAGAAGGGCAAGCGCGTGTCCCGGGAGTGGCAGCGGTTCGGCCGCTACACCGCCAGCGTGCTGTGGAAGGACGTGGGGCTGTACCAGCAGAAGCTGCGCGAACTGGAGCTCGGCCAGGAGGCGCTGCGGGCGGAGAACTCGGAGCTGAAGGAGATCGTCCTGATGCTGGACGAGGAGCGCAGCGGCGCCGGCTCCCGCAGCTCCATCGACAGCCAGTCCAGCCTCAACAACCTCAACGGCTCCGGGGGCATCCGGGACGTGGGCGACGGCAGCAGCACCTCGAGCACGGGCAGCGCGGGGAGCCCCGACCACCACAAAACAGAGGCCAAGATGGCATCACTCCGGAGGTCCATGGACGACCTGTCCAGAGGAGCAGGGCTCAGCGGTAAGGCTTTCACTCATCTTTATGTTGTTTATGTCGAGACAAGTGCAGAACTTATGCCAAAGAATTCAATGAGGTAACCACTCTCCATAAAACTAATGTTAACAGGTGCTGGAGCCTTCACCAGGAACATGTTGCATAATCCAAATAAAGTTTTAACACCTCTGAGATAAGACAAAGATGCAAAACATTTTATCTGTAGTCTGGGTGTGTAACAATTTTATTCCCATTGCCTATCTTCATAAAGATAAGAGTTTTATTAGGGCCATTACTTTCAAAGTTTATTTTGATGAGTGGTGCTCACACGGTTGATCTTGTACAGTAGAGAAGTGTGTTCTGCTCTTTATTGTGTCCTTCGGCTGGGTCAGGATGACGTTATAGTGTAGTTTTGTGTTGTATTGTAGTTTTTCTCAGGTTGTCAGTCTGATGTGATGGAGGCTCATGTTGCTTCAGTGTAAATGTCAGACTCAAACACAGGTCTGTGCTCCTCTGCCTCAGGGACAGGTCCTGCTCATTCAGGAGCCGCTGGCATGTACAGTTATGGGAATTAGACCAGTATTGTGTCATTTAATATTGCTGCTTAAACCTGTCTCCATGAAAAAATTGATGATAAACGATTGTATTGATCAGAGATATGTTTTCCGATTACATTGTTCATTACTAACAAATACATGCATTGTTATTGCAAGCGAGGTCAAAGCAATAGCATCTCTATGGAGACAAGCATGCGGTGGACTCTCTATCTGAAAAGTTTCATAGTGCATCTTTAGTTGTTTATGCCCTGTACCACTTAAATGTTAACTGATGACAATGACAAACATGTTGCTGCTCGTGCAATACAACATACATATTGATTTATTATTATTGTTCATTCTCTTATTTACTGAAGTTGATTAGAAGTGAATTTTTATAACAGACCTACACTTGCCTTTGTACAGCAGCAGGTTCACTAAACACACCATAACATATTTACACAATGGGAGCACAGTTACATGTAAACCATTATGCAACTTTCTGTGAAACTTCAGCACACATTACCATAGCAACAGACTTGCCTTAGGGCAGAATGATATCCAAACATGAACATCTGAGCTTTACATGTGACTGGATTTGTCATGTGTTAGAGTCTATTGTCCAAAACAAACACTGTGAACATGCTAACGTGTCATACAGGCTTGTTCTTATTAACCGTGGCTTTACAGAGGTGTAACTAAATCCATTTTCACTTCACTTGACCTTCATTACTTAGTTTAAATAGGTAATATTAAAGGGTCCATATTACACTATTTTCTGATCTATGTTATAATGTTGTTTCGTCATCACAAACATACTGTACCTGGAGTTTTGTTTTGTTTCATTCACACATGTTTAACACACAAACCCTACATATTTAAGTTGAGTTCTTCTCTCAAACAGAAAACACCCTGTTCCACCTTGTGATGTCATGTGGTAATACAGGAAATGCTCCATAAATGGTAAATAATCACATTTTTATATAGCGTTCAAGGTGATCTTTAAGGTGATCAAAGCGCTTTACAACAAGGAACACACACCCATTCAGAGATACACACTTGTACACAGACAATAAGGGTGAGGCGGGTTAAGTGTCTTGCCCAAGGACACAACAACAGCATTCATCTGTGGGAGCTGGAATCACACCGCCAACCTGTGGGTCAATGGATCTGACCTCTCAACCGATGATGTTTTTTTTTTTCATGTCGAGAGCGGGATTTGAACCAGCAACCTTCGGATCAGAGGACAAACACTCTTACACCTGCCGCCCAAACACCTTCACGAGAATCATTTGGATAATTTCAGGCCTGGAGTTGCCAATCTCTACTGAACAAAAAAAAGGTTAAAGAGCTTACTTGAGTTAACTTGAAAACCACCACTACATGACATCACGAGGTGGAACAGAGCATTTTGAGCTTTGGAAATGTAGACGGACTAATAATAAAGGATTACTCAAACGTGTGTGAATGAAACAAAACTCAACTCCAGGTCTGTTTTTGATGAGGGTTAGGCTTAAACCTCACAAGAGTCGATTTTATGTAATATAGGACCTTTAGGAAAATACTAGGGATGCCAGAATATCCAAATCTCACGGTACAATATTATCACGATATACATTTCATGGTACGATATTTTTTTACGATATTTTGGAGAGGCTAATAGAATTGTAGACAGGATCCTTTTTGCTTTTGAAATACCTTGACCAGACTTTAGTATGAATCACTACTGACTCATAAGCCAAAGAATTACAGTAAAAAACATATCTCCTAATTTTGTGTGCACTGCAATGAATCATGGGATATGTAGTTCCCTATGTTTATTTAAGATGTTGCTACTCTTAAACTATGCATTTAAGCAAAAAAACTTGTAAAGTAATTCGATATGTTGTGACAGCACTCGATATTATTGTGAGACTTTTGACGACATTTCAGTTATTGTTACATCCCTAGAAAGTACTACAGTTTATTTTGTGTTGTAAAGTTAGGTCTATTGTCTAAAAAAACATTTAAAACTATTATTGTGGTATCAAAATCTGTATTAAATTCCTTAGAATCGGAATCAAGTTTGAAATGTTTATATCGTGACAACACTAAGTCAAAACCCTCTACGTTTATCACTGCTTAGAGTCGCACAAAATATCGTAATCAAATCGAAAACGCAATTTGATTTGGCACAATTATCAAATCACAAAGGCTGCAGATATTTAGACAATAGAATTTCCTTTGCAAAGAACATAATATCTGTATTTTTATAGAAAAGTCTTGTTGTTTCTCTAGTTTTGACGTCTATAAACATGTTCTGAAAAGCACGGGGATTCTTGTGTTAGTTTATTAGTTCATATTTCAGTTTTCTCTCAAACGTGAATGCTCCTGGAGTTGTTTACAATGCACCATCTGATCAGAATTCTACTTTTTAAACATACGTTGCAGATCTAATCGCAGTTGCATTTTGATTCTTGTCTGAAATCGTGCAGTCTTGGTGCGCACACATGTCCCCGCTCAGAGTCACCTTGCAGTACACTGAGAGCGTCTGGTCTGGTGGCTCTAGAGCAGCAGATGGCACAGGTCTAATTAGCCCAGATCATCAGGCTGGAGTCAGGCTAACGAGGATTTAGAGCCTCGTCCTGTCAGCGCAACATAACTTCTGTTCTCTGCACACACACACACACACACACACAGGAGAGAAAAGAGCAGAGTAGACGTCTTTAGTTTGAGCGTAGGTCTGTCCCAATAAACAATTCTGAGTTACAATATATTACTGAAGTAAACACTGAAACTAATTTATGCCGCTGAAACAAGAACCCAAGAGTAGATTTAAACCACAAAAACTATTCTAAATATTGTTAAAAAATCACGAGTTGCAATAAATAAATAATAGTAGAATCACTTAAGGCTGTGCAGTTAATCGAATTTTGATCGTGATTTCGATTTGTGTGTCAAACAATCTCCAAACTCATATAATCGAGTCGAAACGATTTAAGCTTAACAGTTAACAAGTTTATTTTGGGATATTTTTTACCTAAATAAGTAAATATAGAGATTGTGGAACAGCTGGATATATAGTTAATTTTGGACACATTTAAGTTTTTCTCTGCCTTTTTTCATGTTCAAAGTATATTTTATTCATTTTATGTTTTATACATCGCAAAACTGCTCTATATTTATTTAAAATTTGAAAGTTTTGCTTAAAAAAATTGGAAAATTATCACCCCTCTCTTAGTAACTCCAGCGCTGAGCCTCGTCATTTTTGTCTTAAACTGTTCGTATTAACCCGCTCTACATGATCCTGATGTTTTTATTTCACTTCAGTATTTTGTCCCTAAATAAATTTCTATTCTTAATATGGAAGTCAGCTCCAAATTCGCTTCTATAACGGCTATCCTCTGTGAGCTTCATTTGACTGGAGACGAGCACATAGACTTTAGACACATTAGGCTCTTAGATGGTAAAATGCATACAAATATATACAATCTAAGCTCTCACTGAAGCCTTGTAGACATCGTGGTAACATTATTTATTGTTTACTCATCTTTTTAGGATCTGATTTGTATTTAGAAAAAGCTTCAACTCAAAGAATCCACCTCTGTCTCTCAGTTCCTTCCTGTCTCCTCTCATCTTTTCCTGCAGACATGTCCTGTATCTATTGTTCACCCACTAAATGTCAGAGGAGGGGTGTAGCCTCAAGTGTACTCAAGTAAAAGTATTGTTAGTCAAGCTGTTGTAATCTTTCATGCGTTTAGGAGTGGTCCAATGTAGAAATGGTTCAGAGGTCATCATCTGGACAGTGTTTTTGAAATCAAGACTGCTATAGTGAAACATATTGCAAAATATTAGTAAGTCCAGTTGTTTTGATTCAGTTTCGTGATAATACAAGACAACTATGTAATTTCAGTCCCCAAAGGAGTAGAATTCAACAGTAAAAGAAAAAAAAAGTATTTGATGAAAACACTACTCCAGTACTGACGGCTTCGAAGTAACACCTGATCACCTGATTTATAATTTTGAAGTAATCTAACTCGGTAAATATTAAACCAGATTCATTCATGTATTGTGACAGACAACTAAAATAAAATACAACTTGATAAACAAAATTGTATCTGAACGTATAAGATGGGAGCTGGGATTGTCAAGATAAAGCTTTTAACCCAAATTTATTGTGAGAACCAAAGCTTAAATGTGTAAAAAAAAAAAAAAAAAAAAAAAAATCCATTCAGTGATATATTGTGATATTTTAGTGCACAATTCTTGAATCAATTCAAAATTAATCCGAAACGATTTTTAAAATAATATTGTGGGAGTGTAAACCCAGTTTTGTAATTTTTTTCATTGCTGAGATAATTATTCTTATTTTGTTTGATTTAATATTTACTTAAAATGCATGATTTTTGGTAATTTTGGTCATTCTTTATGGTTAACATGATTATTTGTTGATTATTTACTAAAAATAATTTGATCTATTTAAAATGTTCTTTCAATTAATTATTGCTAATG